ATTCAATCAATTAATCAATAGTTTGGGTTTGAAATAAAAGAGATCAAGCAAAAGTAACAATCCACCATTATTAAAGCTTAAAGAAGGTTCGGCCAAGTTTTCATTCATCCATGGCTAAACCTTTTGTGGTTTTTTTTTTTTATATTTTTGTTTCTTTGAATAATGTATTGGATGATTTAAATGTTATGCAATATGCTATTTGCATGATTGTTAATTGTTTTAATAGTTTGCATGATGTGTTTGGATAGCAATTATGTTTCTATGATTTTTTCCTTATGTAGTTTACTACATATTTGATGAAAATCCTTTAGTATTAAAATGCCATCATAAGTGAGTTTGCTAAGTGCTTGATGCATGTTCTAGCTAAATAAAGGATTGCATAATTGTGGAAATGCCTTGGCAAGCATTCAGCCAAGCATCCCCCATTGCTTGGTCGAAACTCCCAAGCTTGTGTTTATGGCCAAATGTTTATCATTTCATATTTAGTTACTTGTGTTCATAATCATTTCCCTACATTTTTTATATATTTGATGAATTTTTCAATAAATAAAAATGTAAGGTTAATGAACTTTTTGCTAGATTTTACTTTGTTTGCATGTGTTTGATTTAGAACAAAAATGGTGAAGACATTTTCTTTTTGTTTGGCCAAAATAATGTGTCATGAAAAATGGTCTGGTTGAACCTCCCTAGCTTTAGAACCCTTGATGGTTAATCCATTTTTACTATATTGTTAAATGCATTTTTAGTTTGTGGTATTTTTTTAAATATACCTAAGTCTTGGTTTTCATATTGATCCATATTTCATACATCAAAAGTTACATTTTTATTAATGGTTTTTTTGTTATGTTGTTATACACATTCACCATGCAAACCCTAAATCTCCATGTAAACACCAAACCACTATACAAACCTTAAACTCTAAATTAAACCCCAAACCTAAGCCCTAACCCTAAAGTTTAAACCCTAAACCAAACTTCAAACCTTAAAACTTAAACCTTAAACCAAAGCCCTAAACCTAGACTTTAAACCCAAAAACAAAACTTTAAACCCTAAACCCTAAACCTAAATCCTAAACCTTAAACCTAATCCTAAACCCCAAACAAAAACCTAAACCCTAAACTTAATCTTAAACCCTAAACCAAACTCAACCCCATACCTTAAACTAAACCCTAAATCATAACCCAAACGCTAATTCAACCTTAAACCTAAAATTAAACCTATTTTAAACCCGAAAAACCAAACCAATTTCCAAACCCTAAAATCAACACTTGATCCCATTCATGCATTTGCATCTTATTTTACTTTATTGTTACATGTATTCTTGAATTGTCATACATTTGCATTTCATCTTTCATGTTTAATTATTATGCATATATTATATATTGTTGTGTTCATACATACTATGCATATGTTTTATAAATGAGGTCTTTTCAAGAAAACTATTTTAAAATAAGGTAATATTACAAGTAAAAATAACTTTTGAGATCTAGCTTAAATATAGGGGGACTTTCAAGAATTATCATTTATGCGAGATATTATCTCCGCTTCACAAAGCAATTTGATAACTTCTAAAATAGAGATATTTTTGGAGCTTTACCTAAATATAGGAGAATGGAAGAAATATCTCGATACTTAAGGTTTTTCCTTTTAACCCAAAAATAAATTGCTTCTGTTTTAAAATAAATTTCCTTTAAAAAAAACTAAAAAAAAGACAGATTTAATTTTTGGAATAAACAAGATAAAGAAAGAAATTAATTTTTAAACATTATAATACGACCATCTTTACCAAAATTTAAGAATAAAATGCAATCAATTAGTATTGTTTACAACAGACACTGTGGGGGTGCTAATTATTTTTCACACGTAATGACTATTAGCCTAACTCTGATTTTGTAAACCACATCTTAAAAAAGATTGGTAATGACTTCTTAGTTTTGATTTTATTGAAAATACTTTTTACTTGCTTTTTTTCCATGTCCAGTGATCAGGTTCCCGAACCCATACATTGTGACAATTAGAAAGTTGCAATTGCAGTTTCTATATACATTTCTAGGTTAGAGAATATTTTTGAATTTCTGCCAAAATATTAGAGTAATTTAAGAAAATTTTTTAACATCATGGATTTCAACAAGCTCGAAGCTTTGTAAAAATCTTTTTGAATCCAATGACAAAACCTCTTCAGAGTGAGACACTAGTCTCTATTAATATCCTAAGATGAACAAATTTTTTTAATTTGCTACTAAACTATTAGAGTAATTTTAAGGCTTTGGATAACACAAAATCCATTAATATTATCCTTCGGATAGGTGTTAAAGGATGTTATAACATTTCTCATACGTTAATCATATTCATAAACTTAGTTCTGGTTTCATAAACTAGAATCTTTTTTTTTTTAAGAAACTCGAGTCAAGCTTGTAATATCTTTTTAAAAAGGAACAGATTCAATTAGGTGACTAATTGTACCTAAATAAAAAAAATAGTAACAATTCCTAAAATTATATTTAGCGATCGGTTTATAAACTTATACATTATTATAGCATCTAAAATTCAGTACTTTGATTTTGTTTTTTAACTAAAAAAAACGATAACATTTTTCAAAGTAAAATGAAAAAAAAAAAAGATAAATGAAGACCAAACCAATAAAATGAAGCCAAATATTTTGAATATGTGTCAACTAAAAACCTTTTTAGAATATTTTTTTTTAGATAATAGTGCAATTTATTAATAAAGTATCATATTCTTAATTTAAAGTATCATATTCTTAATTTAGAGATTAATTTCTATCACTTCAAATAAAAAATAAAAATACAAAAAAAAAACTATCTTGGTTTTTATTATACAAGATGATCTAATTATCATTTATTTGGTATAATGCAGTAATGATGAAACACATAAAACATTAAGCCGATAATCATCTATGCCTTCAACATCATATCTTGTATCTCAAATTCAGTAACCTTAAAGTCTTGAACCAGTTAAAGTATAGAACGCATATTTATCACTGATCAACCTCCTATTTTCAACCATTAATTAAAATAACCCTTAAGTAGGTGCTTCCCAAACATTTACATAAATATATAAAAGATAACTTTGTTGGTTCAACTATGAGTTTAGTTAAAAAAGTTATGGTACCTTTCTTTTTTTTTCATCTTTGTACACTTTTTAGAAGGTTGAATTTTATTAAATGACCTGCATATGGGGGATTGGGCAAAAGAAGCTTGGTTAGAGAAGGTAATGGTCAAACTTTTTCTCGTCTTTATTCTTAAAATATTTTATTTGATTTTGATCTGATTTGATATCAAATAATTTGTTTATATTTAATTTTGATCATATATATATATAATTCATGTTTTATTTATATTCAATCCTAAATTAACTTAATAATTTTAATGTAATATAATATTTTAAAATATTATTTTTCAATATAAATTATATTTTAATTATATTAAAATATAATATTTTTATTAAATTTATATTTTAAAATAAAATATTAAATAATAATTTCATTAATATATATTCATATATATAAATATAAAATTAAATATATAATGAAATATATAATTTCATATATATATATATATATAAGGATGAATAAGAGCAAAGTACCTAAAACTTGTTTCCAACCAAAACTAAATTTTTTAAAAATATCGGACCAGCTTTCGACACAATCTTTTTTAAAAAACTAATAAAAAAATCCTATTTGGACTAGAATAGGTCGGAACCTATCGGGTATGAATTGTTTTGTCATTTTTAAGCTAAGTTTGTATGTAGATTTAAAAAATGATACAATTATATAATACAAAAATAATATAAAAATATACGAATGTGACACAAGTTAAAAATTTAATAAAAATCATTTATAATTTTAACAAATACTAAAAAGTATATTTTGTATTTTCTATATCAATATGAATTATAAAACATAACTTTCATATAAAACACAATATGAATATATAAATTGACAATATTTTACGTGAAACAAATACACGAATTGTTAAACATACTCATAGGCTTACAAGCAAATGCAACAAATTCCTTTGTCAAAAAGTCTAAGAATTGTTGATATAAAATCTAATTGTATGAACAGTAAGATTGAAAATAACAATAGAAGTGGTATTGGTTACCGTAACAATGAAAGTAAAATCAATGATAAAAACACCAATGACGGTGAGTTGAATTAACATAAGAAGAAAAAATTACTATTAAAGATATTAGATTAAAAATTATGTAATAAAAATTTTAAATTATTTAATATTTATAAAATTATTAAATAATTAAAAATTAAAAAGATATTTTTATGTTAAATAATAATTTTGAAAATAAATAATTAAAATTTATTTATTGATTTATTTATTATATAATAATAATTTTTTTAAAAATTAAAATAAAAAATGAATAAGAAAAATTAAATTATAAGGACTTAACTTAAAGGACAAAAAAAAAAAAGGAACAAGGTTGCATCGCACCGAAAATCCATTCCTTTTAATTTCAGTTGATCAGTTGGCACAAAAATGGATGACAACCGAGCTCCACAGGAGTTACGGATGGGTCCAAAGGGCCACATTCTTTATAAGGAAGAACACCAATCATATTCTCGGACCTGAAATAAGGCTAACAAGTAGCATTCAATATGTACTCCTTGTACCTTGTTTATGTTAAATCTGTCACTCTCAAGAACTGTAATCAATAACTGCTATCAATGATGGGATCTTATACTCAATCTCCTCGGGCAAAAAAAAATATATTATTTTAAAAGGAAAGAACTAACGAGAATGCTAGACAATCCAATTAGTTTTGCACATAACACCACGGAGCACAAGCAGTTTCAATAACCAGAATCTATATAGATGCAGTATAGAGCAAATATTCAGAACCAAGACATTACAGAGACAAAATGAACAAATCCTATAATAAGCAATCATAAAGAAATTTTTTTAAAAGGTAGAATTTGAGAGAAATTTAACAAGCCGTTTGATTTTTTTTAGAAGTTGCAGTATTGATTGAACAAAATGCTTTACATATGAAATTTAAGATCCCCAAGCAAATAGAGCCAAAACACAAACTGATAAATTCATACAATTCTGCTCTAGGCAAACACAACACACTTAGACTATTCTTCCTCAAACGCCTTCAACAAGTCACTTGTGCCATGTGTTTATTTTTGTATTAAGTAACCATCTTTATGTTGTGCTTTCTTTACTTCAGTAAAGACACAAATAAAATGGTGATGCAATCACAACATCCCTTCTGGATCTTTTAATCGTTGGGCATTCAAAAGGGAGCTACCTTTGCATTCTCAGTAAGTAGATTCATGAGATGGACTATCTGCATGCATGTCCATTGAGGAATCATTGGATTCGAGAGGATTAGAATCCCCAGTCTGATGCTGGAGAAAGCTAGTTTCATTATTCCTGGCTCCATTTCCTGGAGGAAGACCACCATTAGGACAGTAGCCTTCCTGAGCAATGTGATAATGCTGAAGACTCTGACGAACAGGACTTGATAAAGCATTTGAGAAAACTAAATTCTTGGACTGCTGATCACAATGGGCAGGGCGAGTTCCCTGCCCAGCAGTTTGGCCAGATGAACCTGAAGAGACCATGAAACTGGTATTCATGAACTGCATCATAGGCTGGAAATGCTGCTGTTGGCTTGGTGTTCTAGGTGACATTGATGGCTCCTCACCACAGTAGTCTAGTTCATTCTGAAAGAAGATCACATAATGTTCAGATTTTCAGAATAAAATAAAGATAATTATCAGTTATCACAAATGGAAAGGATCAGATAACACACAAGTGCAAGGCATGCCCAAAGAATCACAAGAAGATTCCTACATTTCAGAAGGGAGAACCTATCCTTGCCCTCTTTGCTATAAACAATCTAGTGCTTGCACGCATCTTTAGAGGCCAAAACTAGAATATCATAAAACTGACAATTTTCTAATACCAAGAGCAAATAATACTTTTCACCATTATGGTCATGATGTCATTCAATTTGTTCAATAGTTAGCATCCAGCTGATTAGTGTGGAGACTCAACTACCGAAGAACAGTATAATAACCCCTTTTATAAGTCTTTCCAAAGCAAAAATATGAGAAATAAACAAAACAGATTTGCAATAAGAGACATACTTACTGCTAAAGGAATTGGTAGGTTTCTAACATATGACATATGAATAAACTATCTGTTAATAATTTGCAGTAATTATATCAAAGTTACTGTTCACAGCAGTGAACATTGTCTTGTTAAAGTTTTATTTGCCTTATGTTATTTGTATAGTAATTGATTTTAGACACTTGTACAACTTAGATGCCCTACATTTTAAGTACCATAGTGTATATGCTGCTGTTAAAAAGAGGGAGAATAAAACAGATTGAAAGGAGGCTGCCTCTGCATGTTTATATTCAGTTTTTTGCTGCTGTAATGGCAGCTCTGTCTTACTTCATGAGTCATTTATCTTCAAGTGTTCTTTTAGTGTAAAAGGAGAAATTTAACCAGCCACACCATCATCCAAAGAAAAAAACTAAAATCTGTATGCTGCTTGTAACATATCCTATAAGTAAGGTCACTCTAAGAGAAGTGCTGGGCAGTTAAGGGTTTTGGCAGTTCTTGGTGACATAAAACCTGTTCAGACCTCTCGCTAATAAACATTTCAATGACTGGATTCAGTCATAATGCTAATATAAAGAGGTATAATGATTTCATATTGAAGTGTTTAGAGCCACCATCAGAGAAAATAATGAATTCACCAAACAGCAAAGAGTCAGAAAATCAACCTAAGCTTAAAATGGAGGAACAATGATCTTTTGTTTTATTTTAGTCATGTTCAGAAATATTCACAAATTAATAAAGTAAATTTAAAACCCAGATCCTTAGTTATAAAAACATGAAAATTTTGATCCAAGGTTTTCACACAATTATACTGCCCCATGTTACTACAAACCCCTATTGCAACAAGGAAGACTGGAATACTCTAGGCATTGACTAACTTATATGCAACTAGATTAAATCATCTCTTCTCAATAATGGGAACAACAAGATTCTAGACTGGTAATTCTAGATGACTTTTTTCCTTCCTTGCTTATAATTGTCCTTCAAATAAAACAAAAACCAAAAAGGAAACAACCTCTTCTTGTTACAATTCTCATCATAAATGGCATCTCATCACTTCCAAACAATTTAAATGTCTAAACTGCACAATGCATAAAGTTTATTTCCAACTCTCCTTTATGTCTCCTATTGGTCAAAACTAGTTGTAAAATCATTTAGAAACAAAAAGGAAACATGCATGAATAGATTCAAATGTTATTGTTTATCTTCTGATAGCTTAAGATAGAATAATAACCAGATAAGGCTTTAACAGATACAGGTTTGCACATGGTAAATACTATAAGGAATGTAATACACAGAAGAAAGGAAGAGCTATAAGTCATTCAATTAAAAAGAAAAAAAAAAAAACCTAGGAAAAGGATATGTCATGCAACCTTAATAGGAAGCCTACTTGAACTTTGGCATAAAGCTTATCTTTATGCACCCTCCATATACTAAGGTATCCAAAACAGAACTCCAGCACAAACACATTCAAAGAGATAATGGCAGATGATAAAATAGTCAAAGAAGAAAAACAAACCTGAAGGTAACTGAGGATATCCATTGTTGTTACTCTTGATCCTCCCTCTTGTTGTCTCCAAATCCACTGATAAAGTTTTTCCTGAAAACAAATTGACATGACCATATTAGCAGAACTTCTAACTTGCAACTAGAAGTACTTCACAGAGAACTAGATGAGCAAGTTCACAAATAAATGCTAGAACTGGAAGCCAAATTGAGACAAATAAATAATTTAACACCTGAAAAGTTATAATTCCATAGATTTTACGCTCAATGTTGTGTGAACTAAGCATAGACCTTTGTTCTTAACAAAGGAAACAAGCAGAATTTATAAGACATCCAAAGTCCTCTTTAGAAGATAAACTTCCAAGTTGAATATAATAATTGCAAAGCATGTCTGAGCACATCCGAGCAGCTTGACTTTACCAATGATCTATAAACAACTGTCAAGCTACCGATACACCCCTCTAATTTTCAGCCACATTTCATTAACACTAAAATGAGTTAAGATAAAAAACCCAAGAAAGGGTTCTAAACAAGCTGTTTGCATGACTCAGTGGCTAACAAGTTTCAATCTTTAAAAGGAATATATTTGAAGAAATATTAATGGTTTCATTAGCTTTACTTTTAAGAGGCCTAAGGAAGTTTAGACTGTAATCTTATCCTAAAACAAGAAAGAAAACATCCAGTATTCCAATTTGCACGCTCCTGCATTTTCACAACTGAGGCACTGCAATAAGTGAGTATTGAAAACCTTTTTAAAATGTATCAGTTCCCACCAAAGATGAGCTCAACTCAAACTCACCACGCGTTTAAACATCCTCTAGCAATCAGTTCCACTCTTTGCCCAATGTACAACACATCAGCAACACCAATTTTTTTTAATTATAATTATCATTTAGGTTTCTCAAAAAAATAAAAATGCACCACACAATCTTGAAGTTAAAAGACAGACGCACAATGCAATATATCCAGAAACACAAGCATACAATGTGCTAATCAATTTAATCCAAAACCAGTAAATCCCAAATCATATTCGCATCAAAAATATATTTTTACCACAATTAAAATATAAAAAAATAGGCTTGATTGATCAAAATCATAACTTTGAGTTACTCAAAGACAGATACGTAATAAAACGCAAAACCCAGATGCAAGAACAGATATAACAATACATAAAGGTAAAATTGCATATGGAGAGAGAGAGAGAGAGAGAGAGAGAGAGTACAAGGCTATGGCGTTTGCCAGCTTGGAATGAGAGTTTCTGCTGATTCATAGCCTGAGTATAAAGCTGAGACAAGGTGTTAGCGGCGCTGCAAAAGGAGGCGTACAAAGTCCGATCCACCTCATCAAGGCTCGTCGCTATCGACTTCCTTTTCTTCCCCATATCTCCCGGTTCTCTCTCCTGCGATCCACAAAGTTTTAAGTTGCTATTGGCGATCGACGAAAAGAGAGAATTTTATCTTTTTTTTTTCTTTAAATTTTTACTTTCTGGTTTTTGAAGAGGAAGTAGAGAGAAAGGTTGCTTCGTTTTTTGTACTTTTTGTATTAAAGAGGAAGGTTGCAGTATGAGGTTTGAGTTGACGGTCACTTCTCGGCAGTGCGGTTGGGCCAACTGATACCGCGTAAATTATTGGTTCAGGTCCAGCTTTCAAAATATGCATGACAGCCGGTAAGCGACTCTATAAATAATTTTGAGGTAATCCAAACCTAATTATAAATTACAAAATTTACACTATTTTATAGAGTCTGATTAGTATTATTATACCTATTAAAACTCCAACACTTCTATTTTTTGGTACAAAGTGTTATTGGTATTTGGTACCTAATAAAATGTAATCTATTTTAGTTTGATCGAATAATAAAAATAAAACAGATAGTATCTAATATGTTATCACTGTAATTTTTTAATAAATAAATTATATCATTAGTCATTTAATTATGTTCATACTATTAAATTAAACTATTAAAATTTTTAATTTAATTATTAAAGTTTGAGTATTTTTTTGTCACCCAATTGTTAACATATAACAATATATTAATGTGGTAATGCCATATCTGTTTATAGGTGGCACTTGATAAATGATGTGATAAAAAAATATTTATTCAAATTTTAGTAATTAAATTAAAAATTTTAATAATTAAATAATCAGTTTAAAAACATTAAGTAATTGATGGTATATTTTACTCTATTTAAATTCTTTAAGTAAAGTAAAGAGTAAAATGAATCAAATATGAATAAATAAATGTATATAAGTAGTTTGTTGTTTACTTTTAGAGGTGTTCGAGGTCATTTCATATTTGGTGAAAAAATTGCTCTGTTTAAATAGTAAAATATTCACGTTCTATTTGTATTCGATTCGATTAAATTAAATGAATTCTTTCATGAACATTAAACGAATATGTGTATAAACATATATAAATAACATATTTATGAACAATAAATAAATTATAATTAAACAAATAAGTCCAAATAATTATAAAAAAATCTTTAAATATAAATAAAATAAAGGATAAAAATATAACTTTGTTAGTATTATAAAGGAATAATAAATGAACAATAAATAGACGAGTGTTAAACGAATTTTAAATGAACTTATTTATAAATATGAACAAACTAAATAGATCTCTATTTATATTTGGTTCATTTAACAAACAGATGTAAAAATACTATTTAAAATCGTTTATTAAATTTAATAAACAAATATAAACAAATAAAAAATAAATATGTTAAAAAATAATTTATCAAAAATTATGTTTGTTTATATCTCTAGTTAAGAGATTGATACATATCACTTTTTTAATTAGTTTTTTTTTTAAATAGATTCGTATGTATTATCCTATTAAATCCATTTGTAAAATAATAATTAATTATTTTATGTGTTTTATTGATCAATTTTAAATTATTAAATTTAAACAATTTATAAAATTTAATAAATAATTTATTAATTATAGGTAATGTATACACTAAAAAAATTAGATAAAGAAAAAAATTAATATTAAAAATGCATTATTGACAATCAAATTCAAAAAATGAATAGCTTAAAATTACTACTAATTTCCTATCCAAATCCATTTATAAGATACTCTTAACTTTATTTAAGGAGGTCGACTACTAGTCGTTTATATATTACCCATTACCTTTGCCAGTTGCCAACCCCAATTTGAGCTATTAGCCAAAATATAAGGTCTGTTTAAGTTTTGTTATCTTTAGATCTTTCCAATCAGACGGATGAAAGATCTCAGGTCTGATCTCATTACATAAATTATCAGAAATTATTAATTAAATTTTTATAACAAATATATGGTGAAAAAAAACAAAAAAAAAATTCACGTAACCAAAAATGTAGCTAGAGGAATCTTGTTTGAAAATGAAATTTAGTTAGCATCAATTGAATTATGTCGCAATCATCGTACGATAGTTATATAATAGTATAGTGTATGATTTTATTTTAATCACTTATTATTGCTAATAGTTCTATAATTTTTTTTTTCGAAATTTTCCGTGTTACATTCGACCTCATGGGATGCCCCTTTTATATAAGACCTACCTTAGTAATACTTTTTTATTATATCAAGAGGATAAAATTATAATACAAAAAAAATAAAAAAATTTTAATTCAAAATCAAATATTTGATGTCTCGTTAAACGTCTTTAATCATTAGATCAAAAATTTAGAAACACCTTAATAATACTATTATTCAATATTTGATGTATCCGATTTATTTTATGTTTTTATCTTTTGAGTATAAGTAAGATTTGAAGTCAGAAATTTAAAATTTCAAATCGATTTTAATAGTAATAAATTAATAGCTCATTGATGATGTAGCCGATTCATTACTTCGTGCAATTATATGCATTATGACGTTTAAATTTAACTATTAAATTTTCTTAAATAATCTGTGCATGACATAAATACATGCATGCTGGTAGGTATCTTGATCTATATCTAAACGAACCAAGTCTCTCCAAGGATTGTATATAAAATAGAATATTATTTTATTAATTTTTCTCTTATTTGTAGTATTATATTATATATTATATAGTTTTAATTTTGTTATTGTGTCATCATAAGTAAATGAAAAAAGCGGATGTGACATGGTTTTTTTTTTAAAGTGAATCTTTTATTATTAAGAGTATATTTTTTAAATTATATATACAAATTATAGTTATAATTAAATATTATAGGTATGATGTAATTTTTCTAATAAGTGAACCTTTCGATGGTAAAAAGTGATTTTGTTAATTACAAATATAAATTACAAGTTATAATAAAAAATATTATATTTACAATGATTATTAAATAATCAAACAAACAAATAATTAAAATATAATTAAATATATCTAACGTAAATTTGAGCTAAGCTCACATATATTGAAGCTTAAACTTAGGTTCCATTTATTTCATAAAAAATTATTTTCATAAAATAATTTTTATACTTTCAAGTGTTGTTTAACAAAAAACTTGTTGGTTAATGAAAAATGATTTACTAATCAAATGATTAAAAATGAAATTATTATTGTAAAAATTATCTTACGATTTTGAAAAAAAAAATTTTAAAAAAGAGCTGTCTATGAGTATAATTATTTATTAATATTTTTTAGTATAATTTTACTTATAAATAATATTATATTCATAAATAAATAATATTATATTAATAAATAATACTATATTACCATATATTAATAAATAATATTATATTAATAAAGAATATATTAATAAATATTATAATAATCTATGAATAAATATATTATTAATAAATAATATACTATTAATATAATATATTAATAAATATATTATAAATAATATGAAGAATAGTAAATAGTTTTATGTTAAGTATTTTTTATATTAACATAATATTTTAATATTAAATATTATTATTAAAATATAATTATTTTTGGATATTAATAATTTTAATAATAAATAATTTTAATATATTTTAATAATAAATAATTTTAATATTTTAATAGTAATATTATTATTATTTGAAAATAAAAATAAATTTTCTAAAAAATAATCAAATAACAAAAAATATTTTTCATTAATTCATCTAAATAACATAAAATCTCTTTCAATTTAAAAAATATAAATATTTTTTAAAAATTATTTTTTACGAAACAAACGTAACCTTAAAATGTCATGATTTTAAAGTCTCTTATATATAAACCAAAATTGCATTGAAATATATAATCTAAGATTTTAGTAACTTTTCTTTTTCTTTACATTTTACACATAAAAGAAAAAAGCAAAAAACAAAAAAACAACTTAAATTAAAAAAATAAAAGGGTTTTTGCTAATAAATTTCTTAAAAAATATTATTTTAATAATAAAATTCATCACATTACTGTCAAATGATTATAATATTTAATTAATTCAAAAGTGTTAAGGCAATTTGTCATAACGTCTAGATCCAGGGATCTATCGCTATACATTGACTTAAAGGAGTTGTCACCAATCTTTTTTATCTAGGTGCGATTGGTCACCTAAGGAATCTATCTTTTTAGGGAACACTTAAGCCTAAGGGTCACTAAAAGAATATGTTCAGGTCTACTAACTAGAACAGAGTTCGGGAGTACGATTACGTATGAAGAAGGTTATAGCATCCTTACAACGCCTATTGAAAGATGGTACCAGCTTAATTTTGTTAATCTAATAAGCCTTAAAAATTTATCAAGTAATTAATTATTAAAAATTATTCTCAATTGACTCTAATACTTTTAGCAAAAAAATTGAAAAAATTCCTTCACCTCAAGAGTATGCAAAGAGACTACTGTTTCACTTGCAGAGGCTCCATCGTTGAATTTTTTAATATTAAAAAAAATTTAAGAAAACACAAAAGAAAAGAAATAAAACGAAAAAAAAAGAAAAAAAATGATTCAGCTTTAGGAATAAACCTTTTCCTCTTAAAAAAAAAAAAACTCATTGCTTTCGTACAAGAAAAATTGATACTTTCAACTTTTCCTTAAAAATATTTTTTTTGGAATTTTATTTAAAGAAAATAAATAAAATAAAAATAAAAATAAAAATAAAAATAAAAATAAAGATAAAAATAAAATAAAATAAAATAAAAAATATTAAATAATTTTAATCTAATCAATAAATAATAATAATAATAATAACAACAATAATAATAATAATAATGAAAAAAATAAAAAATAAAAAAGACCTTGGAACGGCTCGGCTCGACTCGACTTGAGGAAGAAAGGGCGGCTCGAAGACGTGGCTCGGGGGCGTCGGTTCGGCTCGGCTCGGCTCGATTTCAGGGGTCAATTAGCACTCAGGTCACACGCGGGTCAGCGCTCGGGTCGGGTCGCCTGATTTCAAAACGCGCGGATCTTCTGAGAACAGTAACACCAAAACGACGTCATTTTCAACGACTGTAAAAGGCTATAACCTCTGTTTTTCAGCAGATCTCTCTTTTTCTCTCTCTTTTCCCTTCTTTTCCTCCTTTCTCTCTCTAAACAACGAAGAACTCTAGTTACATCTCGTCGGATTCTGGAAAATGTCACCAAAATTTGAGTTTTTCGTCGAAAGTTCACCAAAAAGTTAGTCGATTTCTTGAAATAGTTACCGAAAACTAGGTAGCTGGCCAGAAAGTTCAACCGATGTCGAAAAATTCAAACTTCGTCGAAAAATTCAATCGAAATCTGAAAATTTTTCAAAAATTTCCAGAAAAAATTC